TTGTTCCCACAGGACCGATCACCGATGGCCAATCGATCCTTTCTACTTTGCCAAAGGTGGCTCAAAAATGTCTTCCCTAGTCTGGGTATCCTAACGATATCCCTTCCCGCCTTTTCAACCCACCTCCTATGCCTCAGTACAGCTACCGTCCTTTCCTCTCTATTCCATGCCTCAAACATCTCCCTGTACGTCCCCTCGTATTTTTCCCAGCTCAGTCACGTACACTTCCCTCTCCTTCTTGTACAACGGACATTCCGCGACTTCATGAGCACGGTCTTCGCATTCGAAGCCGCAATCACATTTGAACTCGTCGTCTTCGTCGTCTACCGTGTTATGTCTTCGTCGACGTTCTCGAAGGCCTATGTCGCCGGTCGTGAATTTGACCTGAAGCTTTGTTCCTGCATCCATTGGTCCATGTAGGTAGTCCTTGAACCCTATTCCTTCCTTCAACATTCCGTACACTTCTAGACCCTCCTTATCCTTGGATTCTTTCCTCAGATTCTGTTCTTCTCTCTCGGCACAAGCAACAGATATCTTCTCCTTGAACCCCTGTAGACCCTCCGTTTCCAGCGTTTCATCTTCGTCGATGTCGAGCCCCTTCCATACGTCCTCTACAACCTTGACCCATTCCGTGGGTTGTCTACCCCTCTTTTTGTTTGCCCACTTCGCCTCCCATACAATTCTCGGCAACCTCTCCTCTCCCATCCCGCACATGCGATACTGCCAGGTCAGCTTCCTCGCGTCTCTTCCCGACCGTAGGGATTGGATCCCCAATTCTGCCCTCACGGCTGCATTACTTGTGCGCCTGGAGCATCCTAGGATGGTTTTCGCTGCTTTCATCTGCGCCGCCTCGAGTTCTTTCACTACCTTCTTATTTCCTTCCCATACTTCTCCGGCGTACTCTAGCGGCGGTACGATTACGCTCTTCAAAACCGTCAATTTGATGCGTGTATCGAGGTGCCGGTTTGCGAGTATTGGGTGCAGCTTCCCTGCTCGTGCTTTGCCCTTTTCCGCTACCTTGGACATGTGTGCATTCCACGAGCAGTCTTTTGCGATCTCTACTCCGAGGTATGTGTACTGGTCCACTACTGCAATCTCCTCGATCCCCCACTTCCATCTATGTTCTACTGGTTCCTCCTTGTTCTCGTTGCATACCATGACGGCACTCTTCTGAACGTTGGCAGACAATCTCCACTTATCAGTAAACTTCTTCGCCGCGTCAATTTGCAGTTGCAGTCCCTCAGGGGTGTCCGACATACCGACAAAATCATCCGCAAACAGCATTCCTGAAACCGACGTTTCCGTGTCCCCTACTTTTACTCCCTTCCGGACTGCCTCTACGACTTCCAACAGATCGTTGATGAACACCTGGAACAATGTTGGGGACAGCGTGCAACCTTGTGGGACCCCCTGCTCAATGTCGAAGAATTTTGACAGTTCTCCGTCTAGCATGACCGCGCTTTTCGTACACTCTGTCATCTTCTTCAGCACTCTCCACATTTTCCCCTTGATCCCGTATTTGGACAGTTGTTTCCACAACCCATTTCTCCATACGGTGTCGTATGCCTTTTTCACGTCCAGGAAGAAGCAGTACGTCGGCTTTCCCGCCCTCTTTCTACCTTGGATGATTCTCCCTACCGTGAACACGTGGTCTACGCACCCCCTCTTCTTTCGGAAACCTGCCTGGCCCTCACTAATGCTATGTTCCTTCTCCAATACTCCCACTATCCTATCGTTCAGCAGCTTACAGAACACTTTTCCTACTGTGTTCAACAGTGTGATCCCCCTGTAGTTTCCTGGGTCAGTCTTGTCTCCTTTCTTGAACAAGTTCACAACCACTCCTTCCCTCCATCTACTTGGCGTATACTCGTTTTTCCACACCCAATTGTACAGCAGTACCATCAGCTGGATCATCCCCTTCCCCCCAAACTTCATGAACTCGTTGACTATCCCATCCGCTCCTGCTGCTTTGTGGCACTTCAGCTTGTTCACACACGCCTCAACCTCGTCCTCAGTGAACTCCTTTTCTAGTTCCTACGTTCCCAACGTCTGCCTTCGATGTCCTTCTTCTTTTTGGGCCCATGCGTCCACCTACTTCTTAAACACTTGGTCGAAAGCTTCATTCTCCGTGGGCACTCCAAGTCTTTTGTAGTGTCCTACTAAAAGTTCCCTTTTTCCCTTCCCACTCCTGTCCCCCCCCCCCCCCCCCCCCCCCCCCCCCCCCCCCCCCCCCCCCCC